GTATTGTGTTGTCCTCTATATGTAAAAAAGTAAAATTCTTGTGTTGAGGTCAATAGTAAGACATAAAAAAGGATCTCTCTAGGCATGTCTTTATAGATATAAACTTTGAACATGTCTCTATCATTGACAAAAATATCAGCTCGTTTTGCTCGGGCCGTAATGAAGATATTCAATTTTCTTTTTGGTCAGTGAATTATCAAACGCACTGTATATATATTGAGGCTACTGCGTAATTCATCGTAATTTGAACACCGATTTTTTTCGACCTTTCCTTTCGTCTATTTTGTAGTACTCAGTGGCCGTAATTCTTCCTAGAAATACGGCTCTGGGTCTGAATCAATTGGTGAAACACGAAGGTTCGCAAGGTGTATTCTGAGGTATCTTTGTGCATGTTGAGGGTACTGTGTAATTCATTGTAATTCGAAGACAGATTTTTTTCGACCTTCTCTTTTTTTTATTTTGTAGTACTCAGTGACCGTAATTGACCCTAGAAATACGGCTCCGGGTTTGAATCAAATAATGGATAACGAGGGTCCACAGTGTTTAGGCTTAGATAGGTTTTCTATGTATCTTAGAGTATAAACTGTATTGATTGAAGTAAAAGAAAAGTTTAACCGATCAAGCTGAAATTTTCAGGGATGACTACTGTCACTTAGTGAAACATATTCTGAAAGTTTCATGCCAATCTGCTTTTACTTTCGATTGGGCCGAAATTGACGTAAAACGTCCCCCGCCCTTTCGGAGACTGCTTTTTGAAAAGCAAACAAAGGGAAATTCAAAAAAATCGAGCTCTATTAGGATCTAGCGTTAAGAGTACTCTACAATTTAAAAATCATCCCGATATACCTATCTGAAGTCTTCATAGTGAAAACCGTTCCCGCGTAAAGGGTATGCTTTAGAAGTAAATTGGTTATAACTCGTGATTGTCTCATAGATTTGGGGCGATATTTTTATCATAATCTACTCTAACCACGACTAACATTCTCTAAGATTTTGGTTGAATTCCATTAAAAAATAAAAAAGTTTGTCGATGGAGAGGGTGGGGGGCTCCCCCTTAAGGAGTTGCCGCATCTTCTCAAGAAGAAGTGTTTCGAGCAGTGGTATATGTTTGTGGATTTAGGATAATCGGGATCACCGAGTCTCAGGCTTCTCCAGCATCCAGATACGCTGGATATGTGACAATGCTATTCGAGAAAGGCAAAAATTATTCTGACAATGAAAGATCTAAAATCTTTTCATGTTTTCAGTACTCACTTTCGTCTGTGCACTTTTCACAAGGACGCGTTCGCCGTCAGATGAAAAGTCGAAAATTATTGACTGCTTTTTGTGCAAAAGAAATAACAAGCAATGTTTCGTCTCTCTCTTGCTATTTGCATGAGACGCAATTCTCTGGCTTTGAATAAACAAAGCTTATTCACAACTAAATGTCTCTTTTTGTGCAGTCTATAGTCAGTTTGAAAAAAAAATGTCATGGTTTCATATTACAAGCAACAGTCGACTGCTACACATGTGGATGTGGACTCTCGCGCGTTTCGATTATAACACAGTACATAGCCATTCAAAACATGTAGTCGGAGCGACATATGTATCATATGTGTGCCATAAGATTGCATTACGTGAATTTGTGTACAGAAACTAAATTATTCAGTACGAGGGTGTGGGTGTGTGTGGGTGTGGGTGTGGCTGAATTGATGATTTATACCGGCACTAACACCCACACCCACACCCACACCCTCTCTTTCGGTTATAAACAAAAAGTAGATTTAAATAAATGTCACAAAAATAGTTCTATGTATAAATATTTTTCTAATCATTTACTTTTGTTGTAATCATCAACTTATTTTGGTTTTATCAAAGCAATAATAGAATAATATCTCAAAATTTATATTAAATAACTAAAAAAAAGATATTGTCAAATGGAGAGAAATGAGTATCCATAGATTTAATAATTCTTTTCTAATTATTTAGATTTCAAATATTTAAGTTCAATTTATACTATTGACGTAAACTTAATCACATTATTAATAAACAATTGAGAAGAATAAAAGAATTAATTGAACGAAATTATTTTAAATTAAGAAAAAAAATTCTACAATTCATTGATACAATATTAATTCTAATGAATTTCTTAAATTTTTCTAAAGATATTCAAAACTTTTGCACATCTTATAATTAAATGATGTTGATATCAAAGTCTAAAACAATAATTAATAGTTGTTCAGATATATTCAATAGAATATCTTTTATTACTAGAATAGAATTGTCATGAGTATTTGATATTAATTCATCTATATGCTCCTAATATAATAGATAATATTATATGAATACTTGATTATTTCTAAGTGCATAAGCTTTGATTGATGATATATTATGAATAAGATAATGTTTGTTTATCTAACATATTTTTCAAACGTTTTCAAATAAAAGAGTAAATATCTTTGAAATGAAATTACTTGAAAATTTTTCTTCAATATCACAATAATAAAAATATTCTGTTTAGTTTTTAGATTAAACTTTTAAATCGACATTGTTGAGAGTACGGATGCCTTGTGTGTCTTCTCTTCTCGAACTCATACTTACACTTTTTTTCAGTTGTTTTCTTGCATGTATTAGACAGAAAAGATGAATATGCCAGATTTTCTAAAATGTTAATACAATTCAAATATTCATTACCTTATTGAAAACTATTATTTTTTATATCATTTTACTGAAAATTCATCTGAAATCTATGCTCATTCGAGTTTCAACTCTTTAATTGACAAAGTAGGAAGTCTATCATTATTTACTATTTCTTGTTTTTCAAAAATTTCAACCACTTTCAATCGTATATAAATGAATATCAATGCTTGTACTCCATGTGAAATATATGTTATTTTACAAATATGTTTTTTTTTCTGTTCTCGTGAGCAGGATTTCTGAAGAAAATGTGTGGTTAACAACAGTAAAAAAAATAAGGTAGAAAGAAGAAAGATAAGATAAGCAATGCTTCTTTATCTTGGAAAGATAAAAAACAGAGTCCTTCGACAAATGAACGGCACATTTTGCATATACCACATTCAAACAAGTTGAAAATTATTTTTATTCAAATATTTCGAAAAATTTTATTCAAGTTATTCTGTTTCGGCAAATAACTTATGACTATAATTCATAAGCAGATCTTTGATTTGTTTAAGCGTCATACGTATAACAAATGTTTGACTAGAATATTAATTAGAAAGAATCGAGAAAAAATTAAATAGATATGCATCACAGATTTCCTTTTATCTGATCGATTGATGATTTTTTTTAGTCAGAACCCTGTCGAGTGGATTTACCTTTATGCATCACACACAGTTTTATTGATTTAATGGTTCTATCTTGTAAAATTTGGTCAACATGTTAGATGATTAGCTTTCTAATTTTGTGTCCTATTCTATTTATGATTTTTCGATGATAGTGGATATTGCGGATCAAACTATCAAAATAAAGCGAGTGGTAGTTTCATAAGATAAGGACTAAAGAAGATGTTTTCACGTTTCGAAAGTTTACCTATGGAGAAGAATAAGTGGATTGTTAACATTGAGTGAAACTCTTGGATAAGGGTGTGGCTGTGAATACAATCGAAAAAACAAGCTGCATTCGCCCATCAACACACATATCCATTCCCATAATGTGTGAAGTGAAACTCTTATTGGGTATGCATGTCGCTGTAGTCATGTGATTGTCGGTGGGTGGGGTGTGGGTATGGGCGTATTTTTTCTCTGCTCATACCCACACCCTCACTTCTGATAAGTTAAATTCATCTTGACGATGTGGACGTGAGTCTGAGTTCAGGTGTGACTGTATGAGAAGAGAAGAGTCAATAGTGCATCCGAACCCATCTATGCCTCATATCTCGATCAATATCCATACACACAGCCTGAATGGCAATTCAGTAGACTTGTATAACCAGAATAGCATCAGATATATATTATGAGTTCTTAAAATTAAAATATATTCTTTGGTTGATGTATATAACAATTTTCTATACTTTTGAGGTGCCTCGTATTTTTGAGTTACTAACGTTGGTATTTTTGTATTCGATTATTATATTTGTCTGCAATGTATAAATTTAATTGAATGTCTAATGCAACTACATAAAGAGCCCATAATAGGTAAGAATCATTGTCACGTACTCCTACCATTCCAGCGATTGTGATACCAGTGAGCTGTCCTGTCATAAATAGTTGGATTCGATGATTGGACGTATCAGCAACATACACATTTCCCATTGGATTCAATGTCACACCGAAAGGAAAGTTCAGTAATGTTGATGTAATACCATTTGTTCCATTAGTACTTCTAGCAACTAATTAGTGTCCACTGTGTATTACCTAACGTCCAACGGACAATATTATGTGCATAACGATTAGCTATAGTAAGACTAATCGATAGAGAATCAAAATAAATAGTTGATGGATTATACATCTGCGTTTTATTCAATCGTATTCCATTGCCTCCGGCAACTAAAATTCCTGTAGATGCACATGAACTGTAAGCCATAATTCGATGATTACCGTAATCAGCTACATAAAGTGTGTTGGAGCCTAGATCAAGTGCAATACCGTAGGTAATATTCAGTTGATTGGATGATGTATCCGCAGTACCTATAAAAAAGAATCTCATTCGATCTCCTTGACAATATTAACTGGTTCTCTACTAATACCGGCAACTGTGCTTCCTGAGCACGCTCTACTTGCCCATAATTAAACTCGTGAATTTCCAGAATCTGCTACGTAAAGATTACCACTAGAATCAAGTATTACACCGACAGGAAAGTTTAAATTATTCGTAGTTCTATTGTGTACCCCACTTGCTTGTCCCGCGACAGTCGTTGCGTTTAATATACCTGATAAAAATTTTTGAACTCTATTGTTAGAATATTCAGCAACATATAGTGTATTTGATGAATCGAATGCTAAACCCATTGGCCAATTCAATAGATTGGAAGCCATTCCCCTTTAATTCGTAATACCAGCAATTTTAATGCCTGTTGTATTCCAGCTGAGAGTAACGTTACCATCTACAAAAGCAGATGATTTTTGGTAATATAAAAGAAGATGTTCAAAGTGTACATTTCTGAATCTAGCTTATCTAACATTTTTCGTTACCAAGAATAGGAAAATAATCGCAACTGTTGATATGCAGAAAAACATTTGATCGATTTCTAAGATTAAATTTGTCCAGTTTTCAACGTATACTTTCAGTTTCTGTTCTGCTGAGTATCTCTAATCGTGTTTGATGAATAGCGTTAACTCAAACGATAAGAATGAATATTTACTAAACGCTGTCATTGTAATGGTCTTTTCATTGCTTGCTGATATCAACCAAAGTGACAAAACGATCCCTAACATCATTCCACTAGTCAACGCACCCAATAATAAACCTTTGTAGAATGGTGGAATTGATGACCAGCATCGCTTTGATTGACACTGGAAATCTCTTCTAAAAGATGATTGCAATCAGATATTTATCATAAATTTTATCTATCATTTTACTTTTCTTTATTTGTGCTTTTCGAATTGCTTAAGTTGCCATCATTTGACGAAACTTTACTTGAACCAATATTACTTTTACTTGGTTTATCGAACGTTTGCTGCTGTTGTTGAGAAACAACAGGTTCTGATGGAGACCAATCACTCCACTGAAAAATATTCGATTTGAAAAAGGTATCTGTCAGCATTATTCTATGCTATTTCTGCAACATAATGAAAAATTCTAAGTTTACTTCTTCAATTTCTCTTGTCTTACGTCTTCAGTATTTGTCACTTACTTCGTCCAATTAATGTTATGTGTACAACTTGTTTTTTTAATCCATATTTCATTGTATGTGATTCGTATTGTAAAGTTCAAAATAGAAAAGCGTCAATGAGACATGCATTGTAAATTTCGACTTTTAATTCTTTTTGCGTACTTCTCTTTCACTTTCGGATATTCATAAGAACGAACTGCTTTAATGAAGTTATAATTCAATGAATTGTATGATGAATAGCTTATGTACAATAACTTTCAAATCGATTGCATATATTCCACAAAGAGAGCTAATCAACCATAATGAATGATTCAAGTCTTGTTCTACATATTATCAACAATGATCGCCAAGCCAAATGACAAACAAAATTCAATAATCAGAAAAAAATAAATGAAAATTAACATATTTTGAGTAGCAGTAAACACTTTTGACGAAAGAATGAATGTATAACTGTATTGCCTGTATCGATTAATTGTGATTACATCTTTAATAAGTAATATATTTTTTTTTCTGATCAGAAGTACTTCTAGATTGAGTACGTATTGTTCTTCGAATAGCTACAGCTTAGTATTTCCCTCTTAATTGGAATGCCAATATCCAACAGATTGTTGTGTGTATTATCCATTATTCAACAATTTTCATGATTAGTGATGCAACATACCTCTAATTACCGAAATCATAAAGATTTTAAATTCATACACGATTCATTGCTAGGCCAATCAAATATGCAAAATGTTTGCACAGAATTTCAAGCTTTATAGATTTGGCACAAGAGTTTTTAAAGGGTGTGTACGTGAGTTGATGTGAGTGTCGGTGTATGAATGCAGTGCGAGTATGAATTCAGTTTGTTTTATTGTTCACCCTTACACTGGGAGTTACACAGCCCACACCTGCACCCAGGATACTAAGGTCTATACCAAGACCAAGACTGCCAGAAAAACAATTATTCCTATCAGAACTGCGTGTGGATAAGCGACATCCACATCGACGTACCCACATCTACATCATCAAGTATGCACAAAAACTTATTAAAATCAAATGGTAACACGTACGAAGATTCCCTGATAAAATAATCTATTAAAATAAATAGTATTTATTTTTCTTAATACTTCTCATGAAGAAATTTTTACTAGATAACTGCGAAACAAAACTAATCGTTTTCACACAGAAATTATATACAAAGAGTAACAGTAGTGAATGCACAATATACGCAAAACAATTTTACAAAACCTTATAATTATATTAAACCATTTGTTTATTATATATTTGAAAATCTAATTTTAAGAGAGATTACATTAGATTACTGACTAAGCATGGATACAAGAAATTTAGATTTTGAAATAATTTATATCACTCAAAAGTTCCTGAAAAGTTATTCTGAAACCAAAGTTTTTAGCTCCTTCTGAAAACCCTATCAAGAGATATGAGAGAATCTTTGAATTCATCTCAGATACAAATTCGCATAAATTGTTAGAGAATCTTATTTAACACTGTGATAACACTTATTACCATTAAATATCCCTCTTTTTCAATATTAATTAATGTATCTCGATTACATCTGTTAAACATATCACGATAGAACAAAATTTTCATATATAAATTGTGGCTAAAACTCTCTAATGGGTTATTTTGAACTCAAAATGAGCAAAAACGATCGTTTTTTGCTCTGAAAGTATACCAGAATAATTCTGTCTAAAAAATCTTCTAGTATCAGAAGAAAGCCCATCAAAAACTGCATCTTTCTATACATTGCCCAACAAGATAAAATTTGGAAAAGTTATTTAATTTTTGAGTACAAAGAAGATCATTGTCATGCAAAATAATTTAACTTGTTGAATTATAAGATTATGCAAAAATTGTTTTCCACATATTGTATATTCACTACTGTTACTTTTAGTATACGTATAATTTAGGTTTTGTTTATTAATCTATATTATAATCTTGAGCGCTCGAATTTTTTCTCAGTCGATACTAGGAAGAGACAGAACAACACTCTCTGCTTAACAATGACTAATAAACGAAGATCATGACACACAAAGAAAGAAAAAAAAACATCGTCTTTTATTTTCCTTCGGCAATCAGCAAGCATTTTGAGCTTGTGCAAACAAAGAAAAGCAATGCTTGTTGTACAACATCTACCTGTTTCAAGATATTTACATCGCACACAACAGAAGCGAGAACGATTAAAAACGATTTTTTTTACTTTGTGAAGGAACGCAAGAGTTGATTTATTTTTCTTCTTATAAAAATATGTCATTAGAATTTTCCAACTGACACTGGGTATTAGTGAATATAAAAATGTTACTCGATTACTTCAATGTCCACATTTCATTTACAAACTTTCATGGGTCCACATTATCTACATACATTCGGTTACTATTATCTTGCTCCACCACGAGATAATCGAAGAATCAATCTGAAACGTCAATCGATCATTATCGATGCAAATTCATTTATGTATTTTATCTATGATCAAATATTAAATGAGGCCGAGAGAATAAATAGAAATCAGGATTTAACCAATATTCTATTTGATTATAATGGTTATTGGGATTACTTGCGTGAAGTATTAATTAAATTCAAAAAAAATTGTTCCTCTGTTCTTGTTGTCTTCGATGGTGTTTACAAACAAAATGCTAATCGAAGACCTGATCCACAGCGCACGAGTAGCTCACGTTATGCTGACTTCAACAATAAACAACATCAACTTCCATCGCTCTTTCGACATGTATTTATTGATAATTTGCGTGAGATGGATTTAGATGTTTATGTAGCTCGTGGAGAAGCTGATCCGATGATAGTTCGACTGGCTCAAGATCGGGAGGCATATATTGTCGCTGCAGATTCCGATTATAATCTCTACGAACTTCCAATGGGTTATGTTCCATTAAAATTCTTCGATTTGAAAAGACTTGAAGGACCACTTTATCAAATGACGGATTTTTTCACTGGAATGGATTCAAGAGGTGTCAGTTTGTGGGCATCATTGATTAAATATGAATTTGTTGGTTTGACAAAGTTACATGTAAGAAGATTTCGATTAGAATGAATATTTATAAAATTAATCTTTTTAGGAATTCCTTTCGAAAAATAAACCGTACGACCAAAAGGAGTTTGAATCATGGCTCAATAATCAACCATCAGATGAACAGAAATATAAATTAATAACAACTGAGTGGCTTCTTCTTCGTTTTATTCAACGATTGGGAACCGCAAGTGCATATAAACAATTGATTGAATTAGTTGAGATGGATGATAGAGAGAAATTCAAGCAAATCCTATATAGTTATACAGATGTTAAACCTATAGCTGAAATCAAAACTAAAACTAAAAAGAGTCTTCATAAGTATCTTGAAGGACTTTTTATTACTGGATATCTTGATCATTCAATTCTTAACATTCTGATTAATAGAAATGTTCTCAAGAGTGAACAAGAAAACAATCTAGCATATTATCATTTGCTTCTACCAATTATCCAAAGTCTTCTTACTTGGGATAATGAGCAAGTGGAATTGAAGAACGACATAGAAAAAGTCATTTTTAATAATCAATTGTGTGAACCTCTCAAAGAGATTAAAGTTGAAGATTTCCCTTTGCTAGACGAAGTTTCCAAAATGTCAAAAATCGAAAGAAAGAAATGGTTATTATTTTGTGTCAAATCTGCTCTTCAATTACCAATCGATATGAACAAAATTAGCATTCATGATGATCACTTGACTTTGATATATTTCCTTAAATTATTCTGGTGCAAAGGGCAACAACAAACATCATTAAAAGAATTCATAGTCGATGCTATGATTGTTTCATATATTATACATACATTCTTGAAACAGTGTCATACATCAGGTAAATTGTTTTTTTTTCTGCAAGTTTCATTATATTTATACCTTTTAATAAAACTATCAATTTAATGTTTTATTTCAGACGATTATCAACGACGAACAGAATCACCATCTATGTCCGAACCATTTCTTCAGTATTCCAAACGGAAATTGAAAAAATGTTTTGCATCAAACTCTTGTATCACAGTAACACAAAAACTAAAGAAATATTCAACAATCAATACCGATAATGAAAATATCAAGATTAATATACTTGAAGCAGAGAAATTCTATAATGTTCTTTACATGGTAAATCAATTTTTTAACCTTCCTGTCAAGATACCTAAACCATACGAATGTATCAATATATTGACTTATCGCTTATCCGTTGTCTTTATTCAATCAAAGAAGCCCGTGGAAAATATTATAAAATCTGTGTTTGATAACAATTGGATATTAATCCGGTTGTTTCATGAAATAAAATCATGGATCGAGCAAGTTCATCAGCCAAGTTCTATTGCAGACAGTCAGATCTCAACATAGAATAGGTTTTTTTTTATTGATATATTTGTTAAGATTTCTTGTTATTGATAGATTATGTTTTCTTTTAAATAAACCAGACACAATTAATATTATTCTCGAATGATGAAATAATTCCTTCATTGAATATCAAGACTTTCAAATCTTTTAAACTGATAGAGAAAAAAATTTATTTATCACTTATTTTGTGGCCGGTTAATTATCAGTGAAGTCGCATTTTTTCAATTCTGAAATCTAGGAGTTTGAAAATTTTCTCATATATTTGATGCTTTAAAAAGATAAACAAGTAAATAGATTAATAAGAAATATATATTACGCATATAGTCATGGAGGTCAATTTCTATTTTATTCTGAAAATACACTTTACGAAAGTGATCTAAAGTCTAGAGCGTGAACGAGAGTTTGAATGTAAAGTTAAATATGGATTACACACTGTCAGTTATACATACACCCACTTCATAGGACTTTACTGGGATTTATAAATCTTAGTCACGTTATTATATAACCTAGAATGTAAATGAGAATGTTATCTACTTCAATACTGTCTATAAACTAAATGCAATAAAAATTCAAATTTAAATCTAAATGCTGATACTATTTCATTTTGGATGTGGTAAATCCCACCCTAGGCAAACATCTTGTAAGCAAGATCTTGGCCAAGATACAAGGTACAGATATGTTAACAGATCTTGGAAATTTAGGTACAAGATAATACAATTATCTTGTACCTAAGATCTGTAATTAGATCTTAGGTACAGATATCAAAGATCTTGTTAACAGATTTTCAAGATCTTTTCTCTTTTATCTTGTCTTTCTTGATCTTGGATATTGATCTTTGCTACAGATAATTGTGTCTTGCTTATTAATAATCAAGATTTTTAAGATCTTAGGCTGCTATCTGTATGCATACCATTTATTCAACATATAAAAAGTATTATTTGAAAATTCAATATAAGTTGAATTTCGATAACAAAAAAACGAGAAAATAAAATAATAAAAAAATCATAATAAAAAAATTTGTCGTGTACATCTGATTAATGTTTACAAATCGAATATAACATATAGAGGAATTACTAACAAATCAAATAAAAATTACAAATCAACGAAAAATATTAATCACATGTTCATCTAATCATATTTCGGTTTTTTCATTCTTTCAGATATAAAGTTTCTCAGTACATGTCTAATTTTCTTGTTTGTCATCATTCATGAATAGTGAAATTACAGATGTTGTTGATTCCATATTAGTTGTTGTTTTTGTCTTGTATTTAACAGCATCATAAGGCATTTGTGCCATTGAATTAATAATTGTGTACCACGTATGAGGCATATCTTCAGCTGTTACCAGACATTTTTGTTGTATAAACTCTAAAAAAGAAAAATATTCAAATAAATTTTGTTGTTAAAGTGAAAAAGGTGACTAACACATTATACAACCTCAAAGTAAAATCTTCAGAATAGGTAATGTAAATGAGGTAAAAAATAGTTTAAATAGATGAAAAATGAATTATATAATCATTTCTTTTTTTTATTGATTTATATCGATAAAAACGGTACGATCGAATATTATCAATTAGCATGGTAAACTCAGATAGACCATAGTGGGTGGAATCGAATATACTCAAGTAGAGGTTAGAATTTCAAATATATTTTTACATCAAATTTGCATGACATTTATAAATAGGATGTTATTTAACATATATATATAGGTAGATAGATTCCTCAAATAATATTCTTTCATAAAATAATTTTTTTCATATCTTGTAATTCATTTGTATATTAAAGTCAATCTCTTCGTATAAATCATAAGTTTCTTTCTTCATCGTTACAAGATAGATTCGTTGAAAATTTTGTGAGCTTAAGTGCTATTATACAATAACATTAATACAGCTACTTATTACAATAATTGAACGGAATATTTCTTTAATTCGCATTTGTAATTTATTCTATGATTGATAATCATACGATATTGTCCTCATGATACATAAATCTTCGAAGAAAAAAATATTTATGTCTCCAAAGACATTAAAAGCGCAGATAATATTTTGTTACATAAGTTAGAAATATCTTACCTTTTAACAATAATTCATTTGGTTCAATATAATCTTTCCATTTAAATAATTCAAAACCAGAATTTTTATATAATTCTCGTATTACTTTTGTTGGAAGATTAATAGGAGCTCTTAATGTAGTTGGATCAACACGGAAAATTTCCTAGCAAAAAAATAATCAATACTTATTTGAAGCTGTTTGAGAGAATTTCTTACTTTAACTTTTGCTATCGTATCTTGTGCGACATCAGGTTGAGAGCTTGATGTTGAAGGTCGTTTCTAAAAGAGAAAGAGACGTTAATTATAATATTTAAACAACACTACTGTAAATATTAGATTTGATTTATCTCGAATACTTGTTTGGTTTAACTAAGTTATGCTAGTGTAATCGAGCTCCTATTCTGAAAACTCACAAGAATCATGACTGAAAACATACGCCTATTACAGAATAAAAATAATACATATAATTTTCTACCATTCATAAGTGGGATATCTAATTGATTCTTTTCATTAGTTGTGTGTTATTTTAAAATATTCTCTGTAAATTCTTCTTCAAGCAAATATAATTTATCAGTTGTTACAACAATACGCTCGTGATAGTTACCGTTTGATCAAAACTTGTATTCTTTTTAATTACACCGTACAATTTTTCTAGTTTCAATATACGTTTTTTAAGAAGATCAATTTCCGCAACCATGGATTTGTAATCATCACTAGATTCTTTAAGAAAAAAAACACATTCAATTGAACATTTAAAGCTTTATAGGCAATCAAGTTTTAAACGAGACTTACGTTGTACAATCATCATATCTGATCGTTGCTTTTTCTTATCCCATGTAAAATTAAATCAAGAAAAAACGGGATTTTAATCGATTTTTTTGTGATTAAAAATCGATTAAAATGAGACGATTTTCATCAAATTTTAATCAGATTCCTTGAATTTTAATCAATTTTAATCGCGTTAACGAAAAACTACGTTTTTCTCGGCCTGTAGCCCAGAAATCATAGCTTTTTATCGCTTTATCTGACTCCTGGCGTCGACAAATAGTAGACACAGCATCAAACCAACCTCGGACAAACATCGCTGAATTCGTGAGATAATAACGATCTGTGCTTACGCATTCTTTGGTTATCGTGATTAAAAAGGATTAAAAATTAAATAATCAATTAAAATTCATTAAAACAAGAATAATCAATGATAATCGATTAAAACTGATTAAAATAAAAAATAATCGAATAAAAGGCAAGAAGTCTGATTAAAATCGATTAAAATTGATTGAAATTCAAGGAATCTGATTAAAATCTGATGAAAATCGTCTCATTTTAATCGATTTTTAATCACAAAAAAATCGATTAAAATCCCGTTTTTTCTTGATTTATTTTTACATGGGTTGCCTTCTTTCTTTTTACGATTGAAGTACGCAAAGGCTCATAGACGCTACATGGAGGACAACTTTCAGAACCCCTTAACTCGGAAAAACTTTATTCAAAACTCAACTGGTTAATTTTTTTGCTTATGAAGAATACTTTCAAATATCTGTGGTAAAAATTATAATCTGATCGAAGTAAATTGGGATGGACTTATAGTGCAACAAGGAACAGTTTCATTGAAAACTAAAGGTTCCAGAAAAAAAACGCTGAAGTCTCTGTGCAGATTGTTTTGCTTGAAAATATGTTTTCTTATTCTTGATTCTTTATTTATGGTAAAAACTTTCAGGCTGATTAGCTCTGTCCTCATTTAACACATCTTTCTTTTTCTAGCTTCTCACAAAATCTGATGAATGTCTAGAAATCAAATGGTTTTATAGAAAACAAGTTATATATGGAAAAGACCGAAGAAAAAAAATGCCGAAATATAAAATATAGAATGATACCTCTGGATGAGGATATGGGTGTAGCTTTTCGTACTGTCGTCAAAAAATTTCCGCCCCCACCCACACCCACATCCTTGTTTCGCAATTTTATGTGATCGTTTTTTTTTTCTTTCGATATAATTTTTTGGCTTTTTTTGTACCATTCGAAAACAGAGTCTCGTCGTAGAAACACGCTTCATTTACTAGGAATTAGGTAAGTTTTCTCTGAGGATCACTCAATTATGACAGAATTCGTATAGCTGATAACGAGATCAGAAAAAGTACACACAGCGCGTCAAATAAGGGTTCAAGCTAGAGAAACTTATCTATATTTTTCTATTATACTGATTACGTCCATTGTGTGGCTATTGGCTCTATTACCGAGACTGAAATCGAATTAAATCCGCATGGAGATGCTGTTGAATCTAATCAAACCTAATGATTGTGACGATCTTAGATAGAAGAGATGCTTGTGTGGATGGAATTGCGCTTTATTTAGCTTCTTCATATCAGTAATTGCATCATTTACGTCAACAACACGCGTTTATTTATGCAATCAAGGAGAGAGAAGAGGAAGATAGAACAAGAAGAAAGATAGACATATCAATAGGAAGATGAGAACAACAGGAAAGATAATTATAGAAGATGATAAAACTATACTTGCCGAAAGAATAGTCAACAAACTAATCACAGTTATGTAAGGATGAAAGACAAAAGATATGTTGATAAGGAAGAGCCAGAAAAGATTAAAGTAATCTAAGAACGCTCTCAGCATAGAACGTCACAATGATAATCTTTTTAACCGGGTTGAATCGAATCGAATCGAGAAATTCTTACTGGCTTCAACCTGTAGTTTACTATGCCGATCATACGTGTATGATGTCTGAGCGAATACTTTGTGTATAACTTGGAAATTAGATATCTTTGACGAAAATCAATTGAGAGCATCGAATCTGTTCGAGATGCACAAAGGGTTTTAAAAAAAGAATGGATACACTAAAGCCTTTTGCTCAGGAAAATGAGCTCAACGTGAAGAAAATTGTCAAAAACATTCATTTACTTATTATTGTTGGAAAAAACCCATTCGTTTGACGCCACAAGTTTGTCGAGTAGGCGAAGAAAGAACGAGCAATCCCCAAGAGAGCTTGGAAACTTCCAACTTAATAATGAAAGGAGAGATGATTCACAGATGAGAAGCAAAAAAACACATCACGTCATTCGACATTACTTGAAAAAGAGAAAGGCAAGATATCAACTGCGAACAACCTCCAGCTTTAATATTTTAAATATGAAAAAACAAAAACATATGGATGGGTTTTCTCCAAGCCATCAATTCCAAGTGTTTTGACTGTAAAAACATAATGTGGAGAAAAGAAAAAGAAAATGGCAAGCACGTCACTGTGGTTGTTGATAATGTTGTCAGTAACGTGTGTTAAAGAAATCTGAGAGTAAGTAGGAAAAAAAAACATAAATGTTGTCACGTCTTCTGATGAAATAAAAAAACACCTGATGAAAAATACAATTAAGATCTCAACTCAGGATTTGATAAAAGTTTCTAATGAAGATAGTTTCACTGTCAGTAATGTAAAGCATATGTTTTGTGGAACTCACGTATGTTTTAGAATAAAATAGTGAATCTAAGTTTTCAGTTCAAGGTTGGCGACTCTCCCCATCCCATTACAAACACATAGCAACGGGAAAGAGAATATTACAGACATACCCCCCCCC